AAAAAAAAAAAAAAAAAAAAGACAAAGGAAAGGAAAGGAAAAGAAAAAACTGGTGCTAGGAACCCAAATTATTATTTCCTGAAAAAAATCCTTTTTCAAAACACGTAGTTTCTTAGTCAAAGGTTTCAATGAAATCCGAGGAGAACCAAAAGGATTTCCCAATAACAGTTTTTTTTTTTTTCTGAGACAGAGTCTTGCTCTGCCACCCAGGCTGGAGTCCTCCGTCTCCCAGGTTCAAGAGATTCTCCTGCCTCAGCCTTCTGGGTAGCTGGGACTACAGGAACCCGCCACCACGCCCAGCTAATTTTTGCATTGTTAGTAGACACAAGGTTTCACCATGTTGGCCAGACTGGTCTGGAACTTCTGACCTCAAGTGATCCACCCACCTCAGCCTCCCAAAGTGCTGGGATTACAGGTGTGCGCCACCACACCTGGCCGAGATCACTGACTTTCACATGAATCTGGAAGGAGCTTCAGTGCTGACACTAGGCCTGTGCAACCATCAATGAATACAGAACTAGTCAGGCGGTTTTCTTTAAAGCTAAAAATATTAAGAAAGGCATCTTAGTAACATTTTAATTTTTGATGTTATAAGAATGTTGTAATTTTGCCTTTTATCAATTTTGTTATTTATAGACAAATGCGTCTTTAATATTTATATCTGTATATTGCTGCTGCAGAGAAAAGACATGACTAATAAATGACATTTAGGCCTGAAGTACATGACTCGTACAAAATCTGTGGGGGAGCGTGAGATGGAAAGACAGGGCCACAGCCGAGGGGGTCTGGGCCACTCCTGCCTGGTCCATGCATGGGTGAGTGGACATCTAACAATGGCTGTTTTGGAGTCCAGCAGTACACTTAAAATAAATAATCCCGTAAGAGTTTTACTTTAAAACATCAGTATTCTCAACAATGGAAAATTAACATACTTGCTTAAATTTGTAATGAAAAATTTTACATAAATATGTAAAAGGGTTACAGTTTTTCAAACTGCTTCTAAGAGAGGTGGACCCAGAAGGCCTCTGACCTGCACGGGGGGCACACCTGGCATGTTTCAGAAATGCACATTCTTGGGCCCCACACGAGACATGCCTAGTTGGGAACTCCAGGGAACGCAGCCCTCTGGGGAATTCTGACACATATCAAGTCTGGGACTCACGGAGGCCCACGCCGTCTTAAAAGCGGGAAGAATGACTTAAACCAGGACGCCACCTGCCTGCCCTCCCTGCTTCCATTTCCTCCCAGCTACTTGCAGGGCCACCAGGAGCATCCACAGCCACAGTTTCCCAGAGAGAAGGGGAGGGGGAAGCCTGGGCAACTCTCCATCACCAACCAAGAAGGCACAGTGCTTGGGGAAGAAGGCACTCCAGGGAAACTGATGACGGCAAACTCTGCAATCTACCGACAGGCAGGACGTGTTGGGAACTGCTGCTTAAAAACAGAAACTCTCGGGTAGCTAGTCTTCCCCAGAAAAGGTTCCAGACCTTGTTCTTCCATAAATCTGGGGAGAGGGAAGGTGGTGCTGAGTCACAGGAGGAGCTACCTGCAGGTTTCAAGGTCTGTTTTTAACATTCGGTAAGGATTTGAAGGTCACGGTAAAGCCTTCTGATCCCTACTCTCTTTCAAAGAAAGTGTCTCATGGGCAGAGAGACAGTTTTGATTGGCAGCTTTGAATCTGCCTGCTTGAGATCCTGCAAACGTCAGGATCAGCCCATGCAGCCGCCGACAGCCACGTGTACCCAACCCAACCCAGCACAGCACGGTGCAGTGTGACCACTGCCACACCCATCTGCTAGGCCCCAACGCCCATGTTGACCTGGCAGCCAGCTGGGACTCCTACCCTTTCCACATTCCCAGGGCAGGGCGAAGGCAGAGAACCTGGTGTTGGTGCAGAGGTTCTGCTGTCTCCATCTGTCAACGTCACAATCTGTGCAGTTTCCGTGCCTCTCCCCCACCCTCAGCAGCACAGCGCCGCCACAGGGCAGGCAGGCCACGCGAAAAGGCAGGTGACGGCTCCACACAGGAGCTTTGAGAGCCACAGCCTACGGCCCACTGCAGTCCGCTTCCTGGCCACACCCAGGAAATCTACAAAAGGCGAGAGTCTTTTTCTCTCTCAAGGTATTAGAAACTCTCCTCTCTTTTCAGACAGGTCCTCCAATGGGGATCCCACGACAGCCGACTTCACAAGCACTTCCTACAGCATGATTAGACTTCCTGCAGCTTAGAAATGCAAACATTTCCCCAGACAAATGTTAAAATTATTACAACCAAAACCCTGAGTGAAGAGCCTCTGCTCCCAATACCCACACCGCAGCGAGCCGCCGGCACGTCTTACCATTGTTCACCTGGCCGTGGGCCGCAGTGGGGACAGACGTCACGTGAGCGCCGTTTTGCGTTACAGTTTTTATCGGCAGCTGGTGTTGACCTAGAGGTGCCTGTTGTACTATGGTCACCGTCTGGACCGGGGTGGTCTGTGCCGTCTGGATGATCCGGCTAGCAGTGCCTAGCGTGGCATGGCCAATGGTGGGAATAGGCTCCACTTTCACTGAAAGGAAAAGGAAAAGAAACGACACTAAAGTTACTGGAAAGCCAACAAAAAGAACTTACCAGTTTAAAATATAATCATCAGATGGTTATCGGACCTGCTAGAAGATGCCTCTAAAACAGAGAGCGAATGACAAAGGGTGAAGAAATCTTACGGGCGTCCAAGAGTGTGAGGCTGAAGGGGGCAGCCTCTCTGTGCCCACTGCCCACCTTTGACTTCCCTGTGATCTCCGTTCTCCTGGGGCTCTGCCTTGGGAGGGGCCAGCACAGCTGCAGGGGCGACCACGGCTTGTCCAGAGACAGTGTACGTGCTCGCTGGGGCCAGCCCGGCCACGCTGGCAACCGACACTGCTGGTATCTGGTGGACGACGTGAACCGTCTGCACGACGGGTGGCTGGGCGGCCGAGGTGGTCACCGGGGTGGCTACAGTGTAGGTGACAGGCTTGAGGGCCTGCGGTAGCTGCCGCTGGACGGTGATTAAGACTGGCTGACTGGACAGAGGTGACCCTGGTGAAAGACACGAGCAGGAGCAGGACTGACACTCACAGATACTGACTTCTGCAGACAAAGACTCCCACACTAAGCACTGACAACACACAAGCCTGATATAAAATACAGGACGCGGCCCTACTTTACCTCACAATAGCCACGTTACTAACGAGGAGGGAGGTGTTGTATTTTAATAGGGGCATTTAATTCCTATCTGTAACTCCTAAAAATGCAATTTTGGCTCTGTTTAGATACCTCATAACACCTCTTCCCACAGTTCCTTTTTCATAAAAAAGAAAATGTCAATACACAACGTAAGAGGAAACTGGGCCAGGCATGGTGGCTCCCTGCAATCCCAGCACTTTGGGAGGCTGAGGTGGGAGGAGTTTGAGACCAGCCTGGGCACAGGAAGACCCTGTCTCTACAATAAATATTAGCTGGGCATGCTGGTGTGAGCCTGCAGCCCCAGCTATGTGGGAGGCTGAAGAGGGAAGGCTGCTTGAGCCTGGAAGGTGGAGACTGCAGACAGCCAAGAACATGCCCCTGTACTCCAGCATGAGCCGCAGAGCAAGACCTTGTCTCAGGACAATCAAAAACAACAGAAGAAGAAACTCCCCATGTAGGCCAGAAAGACGAGGGCCACACTCACCTAGGATCAACACCTCCCTCTTGAAACAAGTGGAAGGGAAGCAGGAAGTTCAAAAACAGCGTGGGGCTGTCACAGAGCCTCTGGCACCCAGCCCTTGCCCTTTGTGGTTTGGGGGTTAGACCAGAGAGAGACATGGCTGTCAGGTGCTACTGACAGTGGGCAGGGGAGACTGTTCTCTGGCCCAGCATGGCCAGAAATCCCAACTGATCCAATTCACATTGCTGTCCACTGTAACGGACTTAGTTTGGACACATGTCCACACTATGTTTGTTTGTTTAATTCCCCAGGGCACACATTTTTATTCCACATTATGATTTTCTAAGTAAACTGCAAAGTGTTTACCTATTTCTTAAAATGGACAGGTTAGGCTGAGCGAAGTGGCTCGCGCCTGTAATCCCAGCACTTTTGGAGGCTTAGGCGGGTGGATGATGAGGTCAAGAGATCAAGACCATCCTGGCCAACATGGTGAAAACCCATCTCTACTAAAAATATAAAAATTAGCTGGGCATGGTGGCGGGTGCCTGTAGTCCCAGCTACTCGGGAGGATGAGACAGGAGAATCACTTGAACCCAGGAGGCGGAGGTTGCAGTGAGCCGAGATGGTGCCGCTGCACTCCAGCCTGGGCACCAGAGCGAGACTCTGTCTCAAAAACATAAATAAACAAAAAGGACATGCTTTTGCTTCCAATCAGTGTCTAGTTTGTCTACTTTATGGGTTTTCTTTTTCCGGGGGGGGGGGTCATTTCATGGATTTTTGAATGACAAGCTTATAAACAGGTTAATCCTAAGTTATTTCAGGCATCCATACACAGTCATTTAAAGAACACTCACTGATTTTTAAGAATACTCCCAGTGCTACCAGTTTTGCAAAGCCTATAAAACGACACTCAGGTCCTGATGTAAGGTACGGAGGGACAGAGAGGCCTCTTGGGAAGTCCAGCTGCTCCTTCTCTGCTGAGCCCAGAGTCTGTGTCTGGCTCATGCTGTCTGGCCCGCGCTTCCTCTCCCGCTGTCTCACCTGGTGCGCTCTGGGCAAATCGGGCTTCCTGGATGACAGCGAGTTTGGGCTGCGCGGTGCCAGGCTCAGGCTCCAGGGGGGCCGGCGAACCTTCCCTCGACAGGCTCTCAGGGGTCTGGGCGCCACTAGAGTGAGCAGACAGCACTCCAGCGTGATTGGGAGAGGCTGGGGCACTCCTATGTCACCGAGAAGAAGACATTGTGTTTTTACAGGTGATGTACTCAGACAGCACTTAATGTTTTAATAAGTGCACTTTGCAAAGGGGGTGTCGTTTGTCTCCTGCCAACCGACTACCGCTGTGTAAGTTTTGCTTCTCTGCATGCCTGTGAACTGAGCGGGGCACTTGGCAAGACAGGCTGAGCCTGTGTGTGACGGGCCATCACGTGCTCCGAGCTCACATGCACAGCATGGCCGTGGGGTGGGGCTGGCTGCCCTTTCTCTCTAAGCAGTTCCTGTGCACAGATGGCAGGAGCCAGCAGCGGGCAAGTCGGTGGGCACTTAAGACTTACGTTATGCTCATTTTGTTGTTGTTGTTAAAAACAGTATTTGTGAAACTAAAAATAAGGAATTTTAAACTCTGGCAAATTAACACTGTACAAGTCAACTCAAGTTTAAGCAGCTAAAAAGTAAGTTTCTTTTTTTTTGAGACGGAGTTTCGCTCTTTTGCCCAGGCTAGAGTGCAGTGGTGAGATCTTGGCTCACTGCAACCTCCACCCTGCCCCACCCCCAGGGTTCAGGCGATTCTCCTGCCTCAGCCTCCCGAGTAGCTGGGATCACAGGCATGCACCACCACGCCCGGCTAATTTTTTTAAAATTTCTAGTAGAGACGGGGTTTCACCATGTTGGCCAGACTGATATTGAACTCCTGACCTCAGGTGATCCACCCACCTCGGCCTCCCAAAGTGCTGAGATTACAGGTGTGAGCCACCGCACCCGGCCTCTAAAAAGTAGTTTTAAAGAACTTTTCCTGTGCCAAAGAAAAGGGAAAATGTCAATGTGGCACTGGTGTGAACAGTATCTGATAAGCCCCATGAAGCAACAATCTCGCTTTGGAGTGCGGTTTAAGCCAAACTTTGCAAATGGTCTAAAATGCTTCAGACCACTAGAACCAGAAATACTTGGACAGCAACAACACTTTTGCTCAAATCCCATCCCAACATTCAATCATAATGCATTTGGCAGTTCCTCCATTTCCAAATGGAAATTGTACCAAAACATTGGCGGTAAGTTCAGTGACCATCAGTGAGGCCTTTTTGTTCCTCTTTTTTCCTTACCTAGAAGAGAGCGGTCCCAGAGGGGTTCTAAAGCAAGGCACGCCCCTAGGCCGTCTTTTCCTAAAAGCCTGTTCTATTAATTTGCTTTCAGAGGCGGGATCTATCCTCCAGAATGAGCCTTTGCCTGGTTCTTCCTGGGAACGCGGTACTTTGATGAAATAACGATTCAGAGAGAGATTGTGGCGAATTGAATTCTATGAAACATAAAAAAATACGTAGAATTCATATATTTCTTTGCTGAGAAATAAAAATGTGTCCTAGTTTTAGTGCCCTGCAAAGCAGAAACCTAGATATTGGGCTCCGGCAGATTGCAAGAGTGAAGTTTTTTCTTTTGCGTCACACGGGTAATGTGCTGACATCGTAACAAGGTCTGAGGGAGGCCCGTTCTACAGAGGAGCGTGAAAACCCAGTCGTCATGCTTCCAAACTACCACCTTTATGGGCAGCGCTGTGTGGAAGGAGCAGCCCACCCCCTTGGTGAGCAATTCTCAAGGAAAGTAGCAGCCTGGGGTTTGAGCCCTACAGCCCAAGGCCACTATGTGCTTCCAAAGAGGAAAGTACACCACACCCCGTGGCAGAATGGGCCCCGGGAGGCAGGGTGGGGAGCTGGAGCATGGAGGGATGAGGAATCCGCACAGCGTGGACAGAGGTCATTTCTGACTCCATCTCCTTTCAAGGTGGGAAACCCAGGACTATGACTGTCAGCACAGAGCATTCCAGGTAGAGCCAATGACTTAGCTGTCAACCTCTCCCTCCTGCTTGGAGACAAACAGAGCTGATGTGAGCCATTCTGTTAAAATACTTTCTCGCACAGAATTAGCTTACAGAATCTGTCATGCCATTAAAAGTAAATTAATCCAGTATAAAGTATTTGGCAAACCAGCAAAAAAGAAAAATGAGCAGAAAGCTGGAAATCAGGATGGATACCATCTTCCAGGAACGGAGGACTTGGCAAAGTGCCTCCGTTTTTTATTTGATCCTTGAAATAATCCTGCAAGGTACACAGGAAAAATGTCCCTCCCAGCTCCTCATCAGTGCATCATTCCTTCTATTACAAAAAGCCGGATGGGTGCGGTGGCTTACCTGAGGCCAAAAGTTTGAGACCAGCCTGGCCAACATGGTAAAAAGCTGTCTCGATCAGCCGGGCGCAGTGGCCTGTGCCTATGGTCCCAGCTACCCAGGAAGCTGAAGCTGAAGAATTGCTTGAACCCGGGAGGTGGAGGTTGCAGTGAGTGTACACTGCGCCACTGCACTCCACCCTGGGCAACTGAGACAGAGCCAGACTCCGT